AGGCTGAGGTGGGAAAATCACTTTAGCCTGGGAGGTCAAGTGAGCAGTGAGTCATATGCCACTGCACTCCAGCCTGAGGGACAGAGTGAGACCCTGTCTCAAAAAAAAAAAAAAGGAAAGACCCACCTTTGACTTCTCTCATAACATATTGGAAGTAAAAATAAGTGAACTCTTGTTCTATACTCTCTCAGTCACACCATAAAATTAAGTTCTTTAGAGTGTGAGGTCCAGGTTGACATTCAGGACATCGGATTTCTGTACTTAGGTCTGCAATATGATCTGCTTCTCTGAAATCCAGTGGGAAAAGAGCTTACATTCATTCATTCATTCATTCATGCTTCAAATATTTACTGCATACCCACTCAGTGCAGCATGCCATGCCCTGTGCAAGGCCCTCTGGTGACAGTGGGGCAGATGCTGGAGTGAGCAGTCAGGGGAGATTGACTTTAATCAGCCACACAAATGTCAAACTGCAACTCTGAATTAACTGAAAGAGTGGCTGCCTAAAAGATGTGTAAGAGGAATGTTAAGGTAAGGAAGAGAGGAAGGAGTGTTGTAGGCAGAGGGAAGAGCATTTAGGAGGCTGGACAGGGGAGGAGGAACACAGTGAGAAGGAGAGACTGACAGAAGGCCAGGGCTACAGTGTGGAGAACAGGAGGAACAAGGTATGAAGTGAGGCTGCCAAGGAATGGAAAGGGAAGGCGGCAAGGCCTGGCCAGGCAGGGTCTTGCAGGCCATGGTGAGGAATTTGGTCCGTATTCTAAAAGCAATGGAAAGCCTTGGGGAAGAAAGGTATGTTAGGCTAAGGAAGGGATGGGGGAGTGGGGTGCCTAGTGTGACAGATACATGTCTGGAAAAATTATTTTGGCTACTGTGAGAAGAATGGACTGGGGGTTGTGGGGGGAAGAATGAATAGAGAGGCACCTGGTAGAAGACTTCATAGCAGTCCAGGTAAGAAATTATGGTGGCTGCCGGACATGGTGGCTCATGCCTCTAATCCCAGCACTTTGGGAAGCCAAGGTGGGTGGATCCAAGATCAGGAGATCAAAACCATCCTGGCTAACAGGATGAAACCTCGTCTCTACTAGAAATACAACAAATTAGCCGGGCGTGGTGGCGGGTGCCTGTAGTCCCAGCTACTTTGGAGGCTGAGGCAGGAGAATGGCGTGAACCCGGGAGGCAGAGCTTGCAGTGAGCTGAGATCACACCACTGCACTCCAGCCTGGGCGACAGAGTGAGACTCCATCTTAAAAAAAAAAAAAGAAAAGAAATTATGGTGGCAGGCTGGGCGTGGTGGCTCACACCTGTAATCCGAGCACTTTGGGACGCCTGGCACTCAGGGTGGATCACCTGAGGTCAGAAGTTCGAGACCAGCCTGGCCAACATGGTGAAAACCTGTCTCTACTAAAAATACAAAAAATTAGCCTGGCGTGGTGGCAGGCGCCTGTAATCTCACTTAATTAGGAGGCTGAGGCAGGAGAATGGTTTGGACCCAGGAGACGGAGGTTGCAGTGAGCCAAGATCAC